TCATTTAATTTCAGGGCACATTGGAAGATCAAATTGTGCAAGCTAACCCTGTACTGGAAGCCTATGGTAACGCGAAAACCACGCGTAACAACAACTCGTCCCGTTTCGTAAGTCAACCATAACCGTCCGACTCATCATTTCTGATCTCCTGTAGGGTAAATTCATCCGTATCCACTTCGGTACTACGGGCAAAATTGCCGGAGCTGACATCGAGCACTGTGAGTACACATGATACGATTAGAGACGAGCTGTCTTGCGCTTCGAACCGAATTCCATCTTATTCCATGCTGTTGTCTCGCTTTTCGTTGTTCTCGTATTTCAGATCTGCTGGAGAAATCCCGTGTCGTGTCTCAAATGAAAGGCGAGCGTAACTACCACATTTTCTACCAATTGCTTTCTGACTATGGCAAGAAATATCACGGTACGTGCACTTGATCTTATCTGAACATACTCACGAATGGTTAATACACGACTACCAATTCGTCCTTACAACCGAATACCTGCTGCATTTTCCATTCCAGACAAGTTGCTTGTACAGAACGACCCCGGTCTCTACTCGTTCATCAACCAGGGTGAATTGACCATTGATGGTGTGGACGACAGCGAAGAAATGAAGCTTTGCGATGTGAGTTCTCTGTTCTACTCGTGTTCAATTTGACTGCCTAATGAGTTTCATTGATCACCTTTCATCAACACCCACACCAATGACTTGTCTTTCATCTTACAGGAAGCTTTCGAAGTCTTGGGTTTCTCTGAAGAAGAAAAGATGTCCCTGTTCAAATGTACCACTTCGATCTGTAACATGGGTGAAATGAAGTTCAAACAACGACCTCGAGAGGAACAGGCCGAAGCCGATGGTACTGCCGAGTGCGAGAAGGTCGCTTTCTTGCTCGGTGTGAATGCCAAGGACTTGATGACTTCATTCTTGAAGCCACGTGTGAAAGTCGGTACAGAATTCGTCACCAAGGGTCAGAACTTGAATCAGGTACGTTTGTGATTCGTAAACTATTTGTAGGCAGGGGAAATAACTATGCTTGATGGATCCTAACGAGTTATTCATTCACCTTACAATTTTTTTAAAAGGTCACTTACGCTGTGAGCGCTTTGGCCAAGTCCTTGTACAACCGCATGTTCGGTTGGTTGGTCACCCGTGTGAACAAAACTTTGGACACAAAGGTGAAACGTCAATTCTTCATTGGTGTGCTGGATATTGCCGGCTTCGAGATCTTCGTAGAGAATGGTTTCGAACAGATCTGTATCAACTATACCAACGAACGTCTCCAACAATTCTTCAACCATCACATGTTCGTTCTGGAACAGGAAGAGTACAAGCGTGAGAAGATTGAATGGACCTTCATCGATTTCGGTATGGATTTGCAAGCCTGTATTGATTTGATTGAGAAGGTGAGTTATCTCGGTTAACATGGACCTGTGTGTGTGTTTGTAGGCTGTTCATCAGCCACTCATGATCAAACCAACCAATTCACCTCATACTCTCGGATGTTGCCCACCCCAACCCTTCTATCATGCGCATTCTCATCTAGCCTATGGGTATTCTGTCCATCCTGGAAGAAGAATGTATCGTGCCCAAGGCCAGCGATCAAACATTCTTGGCGAAATTGTATGACAATCATCTTGGCAAAAGCCCCAACTTCACCAAACCCAAACCACCAAAACAAGGCCAAAAGGAAGCCCACTTCGAATTGCACCACTACGCTGGTTCGGTGAGTTCCAGTTCTAATTAGTTAATGATTTTATGTGTTGTTATTCCTACTCGAATGTGTGTTTTCATCGACTGTTCGCATTGCAAAAGGATTATATTCATATCAGTTCTATTGTTCTGTCACAATTATTGCAGGTGCCTTACATCATCACTGGCTGGCTAGAAAAGAACAAGGACCCGCTGAACGATACTGTTGTTCAATTGTTGGGTGGCAGCAAGGATGCCCTGGTCGCAAGCTTGTTTATGCCTGTCCAAGGTATGTTTCACTATATGACTATCGTATGGAACAGCCATGAATGTTTACAGTATGCTCTCCTTCACATACAATCGGTCATTTGAATAACTACTACTGATAATTTATCAGTAATTTTGAATTTTTCGATAAGGACAATGATACCAAAATCTGTCAAATCTTGCATTTCACAGTGGAGGCCGGTAAAAAGAGCAAAGGTGGCTCCTTCCTGACTGTGTCGTTCATGCACAGGGTAAATACACATTTACCGTTCGCCGAAACACCCGCGCTTGAACAAGTCACACACTTCGCCTGTTCATCCACACCCCTGTTGCCTGTTGCTTGTCCGGCTGACCAAGCAGGCTGGTTGGTCAGTTGACCCATTGGCATTGTATACTCTGCTTGAGATCACGCTCCACAATGTTCTCACTATTAGTTCTTTCGAATCTTCCACTTCTCATTCGAATTGAACAATCCCATTCATATTCACCGATCTTCGCTTACATTTTTGACTCAAGGATTTGTTTATCCTCCCAGAAGCTCGGCACTTTGAAACAGTGATGATGGTTTCGACATATACTTTATCCATTGACGAAATATCATGAGGACCACTGTCGAACTGACACGATGCTAACTAACTGCGAACGTTCCAAGGCTAACTATTCTATCAATCTATGACCGTCTTGCGCTTTATGGCACATTTTATCGATCCGATTTTGTTCGTCAATCCACTGGATTCTCGGTAGTGTTCCTGTGTTAGATCATGAAGTGTATATCTGTCCCCTCATTGGTCTCATTTAAACAACTCGTCTCTCTTCTCTGTTTGTCCAGCCGAGGCATCGGGAGGTCGCAAAAAAGCGGGCTCCCTACAAATCATCTCGTCCGTATACAACGCAGGGTGATCAAAACAATTTGTTAGTAGTAGAAGCTCCGTAGCAGTTAATAACCATTTGTGTATCCTAGATAGAATTGGTAGTTGGCTTTGTGCGTTTGTTAGTATTAGTGTGTTGATAAAAGCACAACCCAAATAATTCTTAGTGTTCTGTGCCTGTTACCATTCGACCTTCAACTTTGAGGCAAACGAAGGTTTCCTCTCACTAGTATTACGGCCAAATGATCTGTATGATCTTGACTGTTTATTTTTCCAGACGCTGCCTGCATGCCCCTCTACAACATTCTACTCCTGCACGTGACTTTCGCAAATGACAGTACAGCCTGCTGCACATTTGATCGCTCATGCCGATATATGACAACCGGTTCACATGAACAGATTTACATGCACTGTTTTCCATTTACATAATTCGTTTACCCTCAACAGGAGTCTCTGAATAAACTGATGAAGAACTTGAACAGCACCAGCCCTCACTTCATCCGTTGCATTGTGCCCAACGAATTCAAACAACCTGGTGAGTAAATCTGTAATCATATCTAGCCTACTAACAACGTTGTCAGTAGTCACAAATGAATTGTCAAATCATTTGTATGTGCATGCATTTCGCTGGACAAACAAGACACCTAAAGCGATAGTCGTACCGTAAACCTATCGTCTTCCCTTCTCTGTCACTTCTTACAGGTGTCATCGACGCTCACCTCATCCTTCACCAGCTCCACTGTAATGGTGTATTGGAAGGTATCCGTATTTGCCGCAAAGGTTTCCCCAACAGAATGATCTACTCTGAATTCAAACAACGGTAAGCAGGATGTGTGAGCACTTGATGCAAACCATCACAAATAACAACTGGATGGAGCTAGTAATATGATAATTCCACCCTCTATCCCGATCTGTACTTTTACCATAACAGATACTCCATTCTGGCTCCGAACGCCATCCCAGAAGGTTTCGTTGACGGACGCCAAGTGACTGAGAAATTGTTGGAAGCGACGCAGTTGGACAAATCCCTCTACCAATGCGGTAACACAAAGGTGTTCTTCAAAGCCGGTACTCTGGCTAGTCTGGAAGATATGCGTGATGAGAAATTGTCCGCTATTATCAGCTTGTTCCAAGCCGAGATCCGTGGTTATATCATGCGAAAACAATACCGCAAATTGCAAGATCAACGGTAAGTTGTACATTCGCATATCAACCATCTAGAATGCTTGTTGACAGTGATGAACATCTGCATCCAGTTACCATGGCTACTGCTAACTGAACATTTTCCGGTTTCCATCTTACTTCTAGTGTCGCCCTGACTCTGATGCAACGTAACATCCGTAAATATTTGATGCTCCGTAATTGGCCGTGGTGGCGTCTGTACACCAAAGTGAAGCCTATGCTGAACATTGCCCGTCAAGAAGAAGAGATGAAGAAAGCCGCCGAGGAGTTGGCTAAACTGAAGGAAGAATTCGAAAAGTTAGAGAAAACCAAGAAGGAATTGGAGGAACAGAACGTAACTGTGTTGCAACAGAAGAACGATCTGTTCCTTCAACTGCAAACCGAACAAGACAGTTTAGCTGAAGCACAGGAAAAGATTTCCACTTTGGTGCTTCAACGAGGTGATTTGGAACAACGTATCAAGGAATTGGAAGAGCGCCTGGCTGATGAAGAGGATACCGCTGCCAACTTGAATGAGATGAAGAAGAAATTGAACAGCGAAATCGAGGAACTGAAGAAAGATGTGGAAGATTTGGAATCCTCTTTGCAAAAAGCAGAGCAGGAGAAACAAACCAAGGACAACCAAATTCGCACCCTACAGGGAGAGATTGCTCAACAAGAGGAAGCAATCGCCAAATTGAACAAGGAGAAGAAGGCGTTGGATGAGCAGAACAAACGCACTCAGGAAGCCCTGCAGGCCGAAGAGGACAAAGTCAATCACTTGAACAAGCTCAAGGCCAAATTGGAATCCACTTTGGATGAGGTATGTTCCTTGCCTAAATGTTGTAAGGCAT